TCTATCCCAAGGCAGTCTTTGAACTTTTTGGACCACTTTCTTTGGATTCCCTTGTGTTGAGAGAGGCTTCTGTCTCACCCTGTCCTGCAATAAATGCACAGAAACTATATTATTTGCAATACTGTTTGGCCAATAGCTTAAGCATATTACTAGCTAGCTCTTATACCCTAAACTAACCTATCTCCATTAGCCTGTGCATCACCATGAGGTCGTGGCCTGCCAGCAAAGTGGGCTCAAGTGGAAGTGTTTGTCCCTAGTGGTGGCTACATGGCTTCTCATTGACTACACCTTCTTTCTCCCAGAATTCAGTTTAGTTTTCCAACCTAGCTCTATTCTGCTAAGCCACTGGCCAAAACAGCTTTATTCATTAACCAATAAAAGCAACATATATGCAGAAGGATGTCCCATACCATTTCCCCTTTTCTGTCTAAATGAAGAGAAAGGTTTTAACTTTAACATAGTAAAATTACATACAACAAAAGAGTTGTCAACCAAGAATTACAGTTCTAATATTTATATCTGCTTTATATTTTATCATAGCTAAGGAAAACTATGGCTATCTATTCTTCAACTCCATCAAAGATTTCACAAGGATATATTACCTAAGTAAATAGGAAGTGCATTGTAAGCAACTTCCAAAACTCTAGAATTGACAGAGACATCTCACTGCCTGGACAGTCACCCAAAGTGGAGCATCAATCTTCAGCCTACAGGTCTATAGTATTCAGAGGATTTTTTCATGATGCAGGGAATTTGAAGATCTCTTATGCCTTGTACTGACAAAGCTCATCAGTTGCTTTCTTTTGTGTCCTGCAAAATGTCTGGCAGACTCTTTCCTGAAGCAGGAACCACAAAGGACTGTCTCACCTTCTTTAGGCAACTTCAGCAGGCATTTTTCTGTGGATTCTGCAAATCCAGTCAAACAGTTCAGGCAAGAGCACTTTCTTTCCCAAATGGCTAACAAACTTCATGAGGATACTCTTCAATGCCCATCTTCCTCTTGAAGTAATTGGTGCTGCCAGGAGCAGATGTGTCTCATTGTCATGAAAAGTCCTAAGTTATTAAAACATTTAAAATTTCATATTCTAAAGATCTCTGAAAGATTTGAAGAATACCTATCTAACTAAAATATATATCTAGTAAACCTAGCTAGCAAGACTAGAAACTTGAGTTTTACAGATGATTATCTATTAACCAATATTTCTTAATTATACATTACATTTTAAGTGAGTTGCACAAATAAAACACCTTAATCAAGAGCAGAAATATACATATAACAAAATTGACCTCAAATTTGTATCAATAGACCAAGACCCATACCAATGCAAAGTATTCATATCTATAGCATATCCCCCTTTAAATGTAAACAAACATTTATAAACAACCATTTAGGGAATTTGGGTATAGTTCTCTTTAAAATACTTCCTGCTTTTTGTTGGGTGAAGTAATTTTTGAAGGTGTTCACAGCAACCTTTTGGGGCCTCTTGGTCCACCAAACCACATTATTCTAGAAGAAATCCACAGATTCTCATCCTCTGTGGAAACAAAAGAAGAACCTCTTTTCCAAAGCAACATATCCTTAGACACAAATTTTGAAATCAAGACACCTTTAAAGTATGTATATTGGTTTGGCTTAGCAGCCTGTCACAATGAAACATCTCTCTGTACTTAGTTCCTTCACAGTCAGAAAATTCAAGGAAAACATGGTAATATACATAATCCAGACTCTCTGTGTATTTTCCATCTTTATGTAGCCCGTTTTTCTTTACCCCTTTAATCTATTAAATTTAAATCTTTAATTTAATCTATGTGTCTCTTTAAAGACTTTGTTTTATTTTTATAATCATTTTCTTCATTTTATAGCTGTCTATTATTTTTCTTCTCTCTCCCAAGCCTACATACATTTATCCAACACTGTGACCCATTTAGAGATCTTTTTTTAAAAAATCTGAATCTGTCTTTATTGCACATCTGTAATCCTTTTCTGATGAGGACAGCTTCATAAAATGCACTGCAGTGTGGTTAGGACTAAGGCTGATTTGCTTTTTGGCTCTTCCCAGTCCAACTGCCTGGTGGGAGCCACGTTCACCACCTCAACTCTGGTAACCAATTGACCCATGTTGCCACTGAGTAACTTGCAGCACACTGCCCACAAACCCCATTCAAGTGCTCGGACTCCTGAAAGAGCCAGAGTTCAAGCTGGCAGCATGGACTAGGAAGATGCTGTTGCTGTTTCAGAACCACATGGGTTTTTTTTTCTTGCTACAGTTAAATCAAGAAGGCCTCTCTTAAAGGAATCATGCCTCTGCTTGCTTCTAGAGCCCACTAGAGAAAATGCTGCTACCAAAAAGTCATGCTTAACTCTATTTTTTTGTGTCTAGGATTCCTTTACAAGCTTTCGCAGGTTTTATGTGATTTAGTCAGTCCCATGTTGGTAAATCAATTGTTCAGGGAGGTTTCTGTCCTGCCTGGTCTCACAATAAACACACAGAAACTATATTATTTGCAATACTGTTTGTCCAATAGCTTAAAGGTATTGCTAGATAGCTCTTATAACCTAAACTAACCCAACTCCATTAGTCTGTGCATCACCATGAGGTCATGGCCTACTAGCAAATTATTAACAGTCTCTAGTGGCAGTATCTGTTCCCAGCTGTGACTGCAAGGCTTCTCATTGACTCCACCTCTTTCTCCCAGCATTCAGTTTAGTTTCCCCACCTATCTCTAATCTACTAAGCCACTGGCCAAAACAGCTTTATTCATTAACCAATAAAAACAACACATATACAGAAGGACCTCCCACACCACCCTTGCAGTTTCATGAACATAAATATCAGCTGCCTACTAAGAACTTCCCAATATGTGTCTCTTATAGTATCTTCCTCCTGAACTCTGGACTCACAACTGTCTAGATCCCCTTAGAATTTTAACAGGTATCTCAAGTGTCCAAAATAGAACTTTTAGACCCCATTAAAACTTTCTCACCACAAAAAAAAAAATCCTTTGCTAGCTCACTAAACAGCTCTGTCTGCTCAGGCTGAATTTGCTATCTTCCTCATCTGCCTTTCATCCTCACATCCAAATCATCACCCTCTACCATGGAAAAACTGCCTGAACCACCACAAAGGCCCAAGAAGCAGTTTCCCACTTTTGCCTTCTCCATCTTTCAGACTACATAAGCCTCTTGAGATAAAGTCGGGTATACAGATGATCTCATAATATTCTGGTAGTCTCTCATGCCACACAGACTAAAGCCAAAAAATTTAAAATTTTAATTATAAGACCCCAATAAAGCAGAATGCAAATAAGAGCACATGGACTAAGAATCAAATTGCCTGTGTTTTAAGCCTAGATGCGACTTTTCACTGTGTGATGCTAGGCAAGACACTTAACTCTTCAGCATCTGTGTACCCCCATGTGTGAGATGGGATAATTGCAATTCCTTTCTCATGCTTCTTGTGAGAATATTTATATCAAGCTCACAAGTGGTAGCATACAGTAAACCCTGAAAAAGTTCAAAAATGACAAGGTAAGCATGTTGGGCTAGCAGTAAAGACTTTCTTATCAGTTCTGCATTTAAAAACCATGACACCAGTAGTTGCAGCTGTAAGAACTTCATGGTACTCCAAATAACTCTGAAAGCAAAGAAAAACTAAAGAAAACGAACAAGCCAAACACCATTTTTTTCAACCAAACTTAAACTAATAAACTCTGATTATTCTATTCTCTTTATTTATTCTGAGTTGAGGGTTAGAATGGATTATATACCTTGACTTACATTTTGGTGCTTCTTAAGCATCCTTGATCTTGCCAGGTAGTGATGGTACACACCTTTAGTCCCAGCACTTGGGAGGCAGAGACAAGGGAATCTCTGTGAGTTCAAGGCCAGTCTCATCTACAAGAGCCAGTTCCAGGACAGGTTCCAAAGCTACAGAAAAACCCTGTCTCAAAAACAAAACAAGCAAACAAAGGCATCCTTGATCCTTCATTTGTGTGGATATCCACCCACTTCTCTATCAGCAAATTTTAATGCCTAAAATAGGTGTGGGTTTTCAGTTCACAGGTTGGTTTAATATGTGACTCTTCTGTTCTACATCTGGACTTTATTATAGCATTAAAATGGGCCATTGTGTCTGAATCAATTCAGTAGACTGCAGTGCTTAGCACTTGTGCACACCCAGATTGGGCAGAGGAGGGAGAAGAGACGTGGTATTTTAACTGATAGTCACATGATTAACTGTTTAGTGGAGAAAAGAAGCGAAGACTCTATTTGCAGCATGGCTTTGATCATTTGAATCATGTGAATTGATTTTTGAGGGAAGTGAGAGAAATGGCTATAGGCTAGGAGGCCACATGGCTGACTTGTTAATCCCATTATACAGGTTGGTTTTTCATAGCTGAGTATACTTAAGAACAACCCAACACATCCCCCAACACAGAACACGGGCCATACCCTCAGGATCATCTTTATAATCACCATGGGAGGGAGGAAGAGTCTTATACCCACAATTACCTATGTCCAGACTGTTGGAAGTGGGAAGAACTCAGTGGACAGAAGTCAGCTGTGTTCTTGGAAACAAGAGAAATCATGAGTTTGTTTAGAAAGATATAAGGTGATAAAGACACATAGGGGACTTAAGAAAGGACCCTAATATTTGTTCATAGTAATATGATTTAAGAGACCTCCATGCGTTGCAGCAGTCTGCAATCACCTTCCTTTGCCAGTAGTAAACTATTTCAGCCTTTATTCCCCTAGCAACAGTTCCTTTGAGGATATGGAGGGAGAAACATTCTGATTGTTTCTGCACACCGGGAACAAATGACGTCCTTCAATAAGAACGTATATTTTAGGCAAGTTGCCAAGAGTATGAAACTTAGAACCCACCCCCCAATATGTGTATGAATAAAAGATGAACAAATGAACCTTGTCTTTTATAAAATGATATTGTAATTTTTGATAAACAGCTAATGCTTTCCTTCCTTACTTTTCATTTTGGAAGAAAATTAGCCCTGCGATACCATCCAGACAAGAATCCAGATGACCCGTCTGCTGCTGAGAAGTTTAAAGAAATCAACAATGCCCATGCAGTCCTCACCGACCCAACCAAAAGAAACATATATGACAAGTATGGATCGCTGGGGCTCTATGTGGCTGAGCAATTTGGAGACGAAAACGTTAACACATACTTCATGCTGTCAAGTTGGTGGGCAAAGGTAAATCGCTTTTTCTCTTCCAAAACAATTTCCTGGAAGATCACAGTATTATTCATCCTTTTAGAACCTATCTCAAAGGAAGATCATCCTTCCTTCTATTAAACTCTTGTAAATAAAATGAGACATCACTTCCACTGAAAGCTGTTATTTGGGGACCATTTTTCTTCAGCCCATCAATTAATTATGAAATCCAACATGACTTAACAGACTTCTAGACATTAATTATATTTGAGTTTGGAGCTCCAGGTTAATTCTGACTGCTCCCCTCTTCTCCTGTGGTGACTAATTAAGAACTGACTCATTGCTCAAAACCCAGAATAATTTATTAGTGAGACAACTATTTAATAAATTATTATAAGACAAATTTAGCCGTGTACTTTACTATCTATAGCTTAGGCTACATCAGCAAAGCCAATACCTAGGAGAGTGAGTGGTAATTATCTCACAGGCTCAGCTGGAGTGGCCTTGAGGTATCAGAGAAGACAATGTGGGGAAAGGTGAGAATGAAGTAGTAGAGGATTGGGAATTGATGAGGGAGAGAGAAACTGATAGCTACCCGGTTAAGAAAAAAAAAATATATAAAGACTTAAGAAATCAGAACTGTAGTTGTGATCTTCTCTTCCCAGGAACCCCAATGTATGCATATTTGGTGGTGGTATATTTATATTCTAATGAATTTTAAATATTTCTGATAAGAAGACTCTTTTATATATAGAACATACATATATGGTCTATTAGTGTACTTTGTGGGCAGTTGACATTTATGGAAGTTGTGGCAAATAATAATTTTTTTAAAAGACTGATCTCCAGAAAAGGCAGAATTCGTGCTGAGTAGAATTTTGATTGCCGTTTTCCCCTACTCACCTTCCTACATTGAAGAACTTGGTAATCGAGAGAGGATGTTTTCATAGGTAGCTTGAAGAGACAGTCTGTGCCACAAAGCCCCACTTGCCGCCTGCTAGCTTTCCTAGGTCCCCGCTGACCTTTCTCTGTGGGGGTCCTGGGATAAAGAGATGGTGCCAGGTGGACCTGGAGCACGGAATGAGAAGGGACATTCTGACCAAGTCATCTGTGAGGGCAGACTTGCATTCATATAACCAAGCAGGCTTTTGTGGGGTTGCCTGGGACCCTTTCTTCCAGGCATGACACTATTCCCGTGGGAAGGAGAATCTGCAGGCCCACTAACCACACACATTTACCCGACTGAATACTATACCTGGTCTTCCTAAAGAGGAGAGTGGATTGTCATGTCCAGGGAGTTGAAGAAACTGATTAAAATCCCTACAGACAAGCCTCATTCACTCAGTAGCAAAGACATGTGACACAAAGCAATGACAGGCATGGCTCTCTAAAAATAAGTATACTTTTCTATTCTGCTGTACCAAAGTTCACTTGCACCATGCTCGTCAAAGTGGCATTAAATATGCTTCATACGAATGAGTCAATATACCATCAAGATGTGCATTTTAAAAAATACCAGATACCTGCTAGTATCTAATAGTGTAGTAAATGTAGTAAGGGATGAAGGAAGGCTGTTTCCCACACAAGGCAACTTCTCTGGAGAAAGAAGCAGAGTTGGGATGAAAAGGAGATTTTCAGAATACGGTATGGAAGTAGCAGAGCACAAAGAAAGCAGTCAAGTGTAGGTGAAGAAGGGCAGAGGTCCTCGAGGGCCATGACTGGGCAATGCTCACGGGGTGGGGGGGGGGTCTTGGAGGCAAGTAGGTGGAGTAAGGAGACCACATGTTTGTTTCCCGGTCACCCAGACTCCTGAAATAATCACACAGAAACCATATTGTTTAAATCACTGCTTGGTCTATTAGCTCTAACTTTTTATTGGCTAATTCTTACATCTTAATTTAACCCATTTCAAGTAATCTGTGTATCACTGTAGCTTACTGGGTAAAGTTTAGGCTTCTGTCTCCGAAGGGGTTCCATGACTTCTCACTGACTCCGCCTTCTTTCTCCCAGCATTCAGTTTAGTTTTTTATGCCTAGCTAAGTTCTACCTTGCTATGGGCCAAGCCAGTTTCTTTACTAATTAACCAATAAAAGCAACACATAGACAGAAAGAACACACACACCAAGTGAGGATTTTAAATTTCCTTAAAATGGTGAAATCATACAGCATACATAGCAAAGAGACTGCCAGTGTGTGTGACCAAGGTCCCCCTCTGCAAGCCATCCTCAGACTCCACCCCATTTCTGGAGCCGTGGTGAGAAGATGGGGAAGTGAGGGAGGGGAAGAAAGGTGGGGGTGTTAGCACTGAATTCTTCTTAGGTATCTGAAGAAGTGAGTATATACATGTCATCTTTATCCATGTGCCACCCCCACTCACTGAGCATATAAAATCTGCATTAAGGTGTAAGATGTACAAGCTTCTTTATGCATTATAGCAAATTTGATTTTTCTCAGTTGACAAAAAAAAAGCAGTTTTCTTGGAATTTCAGATTGGGGAAGTCAAGAGTGTGTTTCCTGTTTAATGAGCAAGGCATTTGAGCTTGTAGGGAAATCTTGGTGCTGTTCCCTGGGAGGCACCAATATCTGTTTGCCTACTGTTTTGTATACTCGTTAATTAGGGAGGAACTGGGTGTCTGCAACATGTCAGGTTCTAATCCACCAGACACATGGGGTTGAAGGATGTCTATTGGTGGGGAGCCTGTAAGACACGCGGCCTGATAAAATGAGACAGGCCTGTCAGCCAGTCTGTTCAGCTGTCAGCAAGAAGGGAGTAGCGGTCTAAGTTGGTATGGCAGGCAGCTGGGCTGCGATGGATAGGTGGTCACTGTTTTGCAGCAGAATCAGGGAAGACACAACAAAGGGGAATTTTGAGGTGCTCTTAGACAACAGGTGAGTATTAAGTGAAGAAAGGGCAGGGATATCTAAGCAAGTGAATCCACGTGCAGAGTCGAGCGGTACGGCAGTTACAGGGTTGTGCTAGTGCTGGGAGAGTTGGCAGGAACCCCCTGCAGGAGCTCCAGAGAGCAAGGGTTTCTTATAGCTCACTCCAGCAACCCCACCCCACCCCTCATAGGGTGGAGTGAAAGGGAGCAAGGGTGGAGGTGGAGCTGCCAATAGGAGGTTCTTGAAGTGACACCAGAGACACTGAGCAGAACCCACAAAGTCCTCTAACCCAAACAGGGAAGGGAGTGAGGAGGGAGGGGTCTGGAGAGGCTATGCAGGACCAGGATACTAAAGGTGTGGGGCGGCAGGGGAGGCAGTGCAGGGAGCACCACCCTGCAGCGCTTCCATCGTGGTAACTGACTTCCATTGGATAAGACAGCAGGACTAGTTCACTTGGCCAGTGAGTATTCTGTCCAGGGGTTGATTTGGGTTCTGGTTTCCTTTCCTCACTCTTAGTACCTGCAACAGCCTAAGAAAACGGAAGAAAGTGCTGAACTTCATGGTTCGGATTGAAAGTAATTTCCCCCAGGTCTCATTTGTGCAAACGTTCGTGAGAATGGAACTCAAAAGATGGTCCCCACAGGGATGAGGCTCAGGACAAGTGTGTGGCACGCACAGTGTGCTGAGAGGTCTTTAAGTCTCTCAGGTACACAGCTACAGACTTTGATTCTGGGGTGGACTTCCTCTCCATGCCCCTCCCTCAGAATCCGGCCTCTCTCTGTTTACCCTAGACCCTGTTCATCATCATCGGCCTCTTGACAGGCTGCTATTTCTGCTGCTGCCTTTGCTGCTGCTGCAACTGTTGCTGTGGACACTGTCGGCCAAAGTCATCGACACCAGAAGAGGACTTCTACGTGTCACCAGAGGACCTCGAAGAACAAATCATGACGGACATGGAAGGAGGTAGTTGAGCGTAGAGGGCATGGGCACCGCGGTACAAATCGGAGTGGGCCCTAGGTCTTACTAAAGTAACAGGCGCAGTGACCATACAGGGTCACTCCACCAAGACTATCAGCTTGGAGGATATCTGGGAGAAGATGAGGGGCATTGACCTTGACTGACCATAGAGCAAGGTTAAACTTAACATTATTAGAGAGAAATTATTAAACACCCATGATGTTGTAAAACAAATATAGCTCACCATCTCTTTACAAGAGAAACGGGTTCTGGGTTCTGGGAAGTTAGGGTGAGAGTCTTCAGGGCCCCACCACCCAGTTCCCAAATAAATACATGGAGAGTTATTCTTACTTATTAAAGCTGTAATGTAGCTTGGCTTGTTTCTAGCCAGCTTTTCTTAAATTATCCAGTCTACACTTGACCTCTGGACTTTTACCTTTCTCTATTCTATATGTCTTTCTTTACTTCTTACCCTATGGCTGACTGTGTGGCTAGGTAGCTGGCTCCTGACATCTCCTCTCCTCCTCCTCTTCTCTCTCCTTCCTCTTCTATTTATTCTCTCTACCTGGCAGCCCCGACTCTTTCTCTCTCCTGCCTAGCTACTGGCAGCTATTTATTAGACCAATCAGGTGTTTTAGACAGGAAAAGTAACGCAGCTTCATAGAGTTCAACAAATGCAACATAAAAGAATGCAACACATCTTTGCCTCTTTAAACAAATATTCCATAACAAATGTAGCACATCTTAGACTAATATTCCACAACAAGCTAAGGTAGAAATTGCTCCCCAGAGATACACTTCCGTCTTTAGGATACCCATTGGAATACATGGGACTGATAAGTCACAGCCCTCGCTTTTCTTCTTCTGTGTTGTTGCGTGATGATTTGGGAGTGGAACAGGAGTAGACTCCTCCTTTTCTTTGCTCACATGCACACTCAAAGATAGCCTCAAAGCAGTGTGAAAAATGAACTCAGCTTGCTCAAACATTTCCGTCTGTCCGTCTGTGTGCACACATCACTGCTCTGCCCAGCCACCTCTGTCTGTCTATCTGTGTGCGCACATCTCCTCTCTGTCCAGCCTCCTTTGTCTGTCTGTCTGTCTGTCTGTGTGCGCACATCTCCTCTCTGCCCAGCCACCTCTGTCTGTCCGTCTGTGTGCATACATCTCTGCACTGTATTACTTCATTCTTCAAGTTCATCCTACCCAGAAAAAAAAAAACTGTAAAGAAAGATCTCACAGAATTCAAAACACCAAAGAAATTTTGTGGTCTTCGGACGATGTCTTTGTTTAAGCCATCTAGGATCCAGCCAGTCACTATATTGTCTTGAAGCCATTCTCACAGTCTTTGGTTCCTGTGGAATATGTTATCATCTTGGGGTGCAGGATTTATCACTAAATCCTACTCCCACGTCCCCCAAACAATGGTAGGGATTACTTGATAATTGAAAGAAGCCACTGTTTTCAACAATTCTGGGAACCAGAATGGTGCTCTCCTGTGTTTCTCTGGTCACACTGAAACAGCACCAGAGACTACTTAAAGGCTACTGTATGCCTGTGCGTCCCGTCAGATGTGATGCTAATTAACATCTGGTGTGCGTGAACCATCCAGACTCCAGCGAAAGGGTGTCTTTAATCATGGGACTAGTACTGAATCCCAGACTGAGAATTGGGAGCTCAGCGAGGGCAAAGAGCTTTTTATTCATTTGTTTAGGTTTGGTTTTTGTTGTCATTTTTTGTTCTGTTTTCCTACTAACTGTAACATCTTGCTATGGGCACAATCATCCAGCAACTAGAAGCAGTCTGGTCATTTCATGTTACTTATATTGGAACCAAACTGTGGCCTGACAGTGAAATACAATGATTGTACTTTTCCTGTGTTATTTGGTATAGACAGTGACAAATGTTCAACCTTTTAATGAACGTGCACAGAAGGGACAGGCATGCAGGACGCTAACAAATGAATTGAGCAGTGCTAATTGCATGGAAAGGCCTTCTCATTGGGAGAAGGTGGGGTCTGCATCATAACGTGCTCACAAGTGACGCTTACAGGGCACGGGTCACATAGGCTCTTGTGGAGGAGGTGCTTAAGGATTAAGAAGAAAATGCCACACATCATTTCTGTGGCTACAACTCCTTTTCTCTGGGTGTAACTTTCCAGGAAAACACAGTAAACTGACTTTTAATAAAACTGAAATGACCGTTCCTACAAGGGAAGAGATGGGGTGCATGGGTGGTCTCTGGGGTATGGTGTGATGTCTCTGTGGGTGCAGCATTACAATACCGTGTCAGGGATTACCGGCTGCATTTACCTATGATCTATCTCCCCATTACTCCAATCCGTCAGCCCAATACTCAGCCACTGACAGCACAGGGAGAGACAGGGAGAGGAGAAAGTCAGCTCCTGCACTGGCATTGTCTAGACGTTTTCATCTTCCTTCTTTTTATTCTAGGCTGAATCGATTTTTACAGGATTTAAAGTCAGAATGCAAAGCAAAGAGTTTCACTGTGGCGTCTTCAGAAAGGCTGTTGCACTTGCAATTCCTAGCTTTTCGTTTGTAGTGGGAAAACCTAACGCAGGTGCAGTGAACCCAGATCTGCTGAGGCCAGCGTCCACACATACCTGAAAAGCCTCACCGCCCTTCCTCTGCTGGAGAAGAGCTCCGGCAGGTCATTGCAGTAGACCTTGGTAGAAAAATCTCTTTTCTGGATTGGAGACTTAGACGAGGTGCCGGGTCCTCCCCAGGGTTCCTCCCTGCTGGGTGATAGGTGGTGGGTCTGTGCTTCGTTCGCTGTTGTGATGCTCCAGCCCTGCAGACTCCACCACAGCGGTCAGATCCGTCATCCTACACCACAGTGCTAAAGGATCCTCAACACAAAGGAACAGCCTGCTCTTATTTATAAGTATTTGAAAGCTCTTACGCGACCCAGGTTTTATGGGCCTGGAATTTAAACAGTCTGAGTAGGCCTCTTAAACACACAAAGTTCTGAACGTGAGTATTTGCTTAAAATAAGAGAAAGGAATCACAACAAATTCATGTGCTTAAAAATGGACAAATACCATGCATGTCACAAAATCGGGGGAAAAAAAACACACTTATGAGATACCCAACTCAACTATATGGTATTTTCCTATGGCTGTATATTGTTTGATTACATATTCATATAGCATAAATGTACCGTATCATTTCCTGTAGAAAGTATAAAAATAATTCTGCCTTTACTGTATTTGACCAAAATTTACTTTTTATTATTGGTGAATTAGAAAAGTTTCTTCTAGCTTTACAACTCAACTTGACAGTGTTTTATAAGATTAGAGATAATTGTAAAATTTGGGAAACCTGTCTGGTTTACTTCATGCACATAAGATGTACAATTTAGAAGCTGTTTCCACAGACAGCTTCTTCACTCTGCACATTCTGAACTTGGTTAGCATCACGACACCTAGTGCGCCTGGGGTCAGAGCTCAGAGGACACGCACATGTGATGTGTCACAGGCTCTGGCTTGGGTTTTGACATCCTCCCGGGCCATGGGTTGGCTGCAGCAGTTCTTTAAACCATCCCTACACCTGTGTAGGTAGCAATGAGCTATAACCAGACTTGCTCCAAACCACAAAATCAAGTCCCACTGAACTCAAGCAAAACTCATCTCCAATTCTGTTTTCCTTTGACCAAATCTCTTACTAGGTCTGTTGTACCCATTGTCAGAAAGAGATGCCATGAAAAACGCCAGTGTGGAAAGAGACAAGGCTTTTACTGATTTTGATTTTTAAAAATGCCTTTTGATCCAAGTGTAGTGAGGGGCTGCGGGCAGACCTGCTTTTCATCCTGCCCGGCTCCCGCACAGCTAGCTTAGCCCCAGAAATAATAACACACAAGTTATATTCATTTAAACACTGCCTGGCCCATTATCTCTAGAGAGTTAGTTACTGACTAACTCTCATATCTTGATATTAACCCATTTCCAATAATCTCATGGTAGCACCACGAGGTAGTGGTTCACTGGAAAAGATTCAGCATGTCTGACCTGGTGGCTGGCTCCATGGCGTCTGCCTCATTGCCCTCTTCCCAGCATTTTGTTCTGTTTACTCCACCTACCTAATTTTCTGTCCTATCAAGGGGCCAAGGCAGTCTCTTTATTGACCAATGAAAATAACACAATAGACAGATAACCCTCCTCCATCATCCAAGTGTATACAAATAGACCCTTAGAAGGTTCTGCGTTGGAAAGGGTCTCTGGGGCTTCTTCAGTCGCGTTCTCAAGCTGTGCACTCAATCCACCATTGCTCCCTAGTGCAGACACCTAGTGGGGAATCTGTGCTTCCTGTGCGGTTACACAGTTGTAATAGTGGGGTTCAGATTTACACCCCACTAACTCAGAGACACGTGTAGCCTACTGGCAAAATTTAATGCAAATTAAGAATGGTAAGGTAGAAAACCAGACCCTATCTGAGAACTGTTTTCTGGTCTGTGATCTGAATGGTGGTGATACTGAACACATTTCCCTGGGAAGGAGCAGGAAGCGGAAGCTAATTGAGATAAGACAGAATAGTGTGTGGATTGATTAGGGTAACAGGTTTTATATTAGCTGTTCATCTACATGTTGTACATCCAGTTATCCTGTGCTTAGAGGTTTGACCCACAAATGAAGGAGAAAGCTGGAAATTTACTTTTTTGTGGGGATGAATACTGATTTTTTAAAAAGGCAGGATTTCTTGCTCCTGTTATTTCTTCATCCAGAAATGTTGAAGTATGAAATATAATAAAACTTATATGAGGCTATAAAAGTTAACAACTGCTGGACTTTTCTCTTACACTTTACCATACCAACCAAAAAGAGACCAGAAGTTAGCAAGAGCTGGGACTTCATGATCCTCCTCATCCTCCGTGAATGGCTTACTCTTGTACAAGTCCTGTAAAGGCAGCCATACCCTCTGTGAGTTCATATAAGCAACGGTCCTGTCAAGTCCAGAAAATATTGTTTTCCTGAAAAAAGTCCACCCTTCTGG